TAGTTCATCATTTTTAAGAATGAGAAATATAACTATTTCTGCATCAGAGTTATTGAAATAAGCCTCCAGAACTTCAAGGCCTTCTTCCGATGGATTTACATGATAATTCTAAGACTGTCAGAAGAGAGCATACCACCTGAGATCAGCAGGGTGAGTATTTATCAACTGTTAGTTATATGCGTACTTTCCATTATTTATGCACATACTGAATATTAAACAATTAGGATGCTGACCACTATAGCTTTTTAGCTCCGCTGTCAACTTTGTCGAGCGTAGCTTATCATATGAGTGATTGTCCGTCAGTGTCCGCCGGCCGTGTCAAACTTTTTACTTTTTCGACTTCTTCTTGAAAACTACAAGTCTGAATGCTTTGATAATTGGTGTATATATACCTTTAGTAGATCTCTCTTAGATTTTTTCATTTTCGTGATAATATTTTCAATTCTCTAATTTTGATGAATATTTTTGTAATTTTTGATACAAAGTGATATTTCAACTTCTTGTTGAAAACCACAAGTCTGATTGCTTTGATATTATATACTGTGGAATACTTTATTTTCACTTCGCTATTTTCGCTGAAGGAATGATTCAGTGAAAATAAAATCCAGCGGATATACCTTTTTACCTATCTTTTACATTCAACCCGCCAAAAATCAGTGGAAATAAATTCCATATATATAACACACATAAAAAATCATTTCAGCGAAAATTAATTCCAGTGAAAATAAAGTATTCTAAGGTATATAGGTTCTACAGGTAGATCTCTCTCAGATTTGTTCATTTCGTGATGATATCTTCAATTCTCTAATTTTAATGAATATTTTTGTCTTTTTTGGTAAAAAGTTATATTTTTGACTTCTTGTTAAAAACAATATTTATGCACATACACAATTACTTGGTCAATTATTTATGTGTATACACAATTACTGGTCTAATTATGCACATCACAATTACTGGTCTCGTTATTTATGCACATACACAATTACTTGGTCCATTATTTATGCACATACACAATTGCTTGGTCCATTATTTATGCACATACACAATTACTTGGTCCATTATTTATGCACATACACAATTACTTGGTCAATTATTTATGCACATACACAATTACTTGGTCAATTATTTATGTGTATACACAATTACTGGTCTAATTATGCACATCACAATTACTGGTCTCGTTATTTATGCACACACACAATTACTTGGTCTCATTATTTATGCACATACACAATTACTTGGTCCATTATTTATGCACATACACAATTACTTGGTCCATTATTTATGCACATACACAATTACTTGGTCAATTATTTATGCACATACACAATTACTTGGTCAATTATTTATGTGTATACACAATTACTGGTCTAATTATGCACATCACAATTACTGGTCTCGTTATTTATGCACATACACAATTACTTGGTCCATTATTTATGCACATACACAATTGCTTGGTCCATTATTTATGCACATACACAATTACTTGGTCAATTATTTATGCACATACACAATTACTGGTCTAATTATGCACATCACAATTACTGGTCTCGTTATTTATGCACATACACAATTACTTGGTCCATTATTTATGCACATACACAATTACTTGGTCCATTATTTATGCACATACACAATAACTTGGTCTCATTATTTATGCACATACACAATTACTTGGTCTCATTATTTATGCACATACACAATTACTTGGTCTCATTATTTATGCACATACACAATTACTTGGTCTCATTATTTATGCACATACACAATTACTTGGTCCATTATTTATGCACATACACAATTACTTGGTCCATTATTTATGCACATACACAATTACTTGGTCAATTATTTATGTGTATACACAATTATTGAGTTCCAATATTCATGTGCACATACACAATTACTTGGGATCATTATTTATGCACATACACAATTACTTGGTCCATTATTTATGCACATACACAATTACTTGGTCCATTATTTATGCACATACACAATTACTTGGTCTCATTATTTATGCATATACACAATTACTTGGTCCATTATTTATGCACATACACAATTACTTGGTCTTATTATTTATGTGCATACACAATTACTTGGTCTCATTATTTATGCACATACACAATTACTTGGTCCATTATTTATGCACATACACAATTACTTGGTCCATTACTTATGCACATACACAATTACTTGGTCTCATTATTTATGCACATACACAATTACTTGGTCCATTATTTATGCACATACACAATTACTTGGTCCATTATTTATGTGTATACACAATTATTGAGTTCCAATATTCATGTGCACATACACATAAACTTGGTCTCATTATTTATGCACATACACAATTACTTGGTCTCATTACTTATGCATATGCAAAATTACTGGTCTAATTATTTATGCACATACACAATAACTTGGTCTCATTATTTATGCACATACACAATTACTTGGTCCATTATTTATGTGTATACACAATTACTTGGTCCATTATTTATGTGTATACACAATTATTGAGTTCCAATATTTATGTGCACATACACAATAACTTGGTCTTTTTATTTATGCATATGCAATTACTGGTCTAATTATTTATGTGCATACACAATTACTGGTCTAATTATTTATGCGCATGCAAAATTACTAGGTCTCATTTATGCACATGCAAAATTACTGGGTCTCATTACTTATGCATAGGCAAAATTACTGGTCTATTTATGTGCATTCACAATTACTGGTCTAATTATTTATGTGCATACACAATTACTGGTCTAATTATTTATGCGCATGCAAAATTACTAGGTCTCATTTATGCACATGCAAAATTACTGGTCTCATTACTTAAGCAT